TGAAAGCAATGAAGATTTTGTAGGTTTTGAACAAAACTAAATAAAAGTAAACTTTTTATTTACGGCATTTTCTTATTTTAATGTTTTGAGCTCTTTTGTGTTTAGAACAATATATACTAATTTTTAAAGTATCAAATTGAATTTTTGTTCAATAAAAATCTTTCAAATGAGACTAGCTTTTTTTCCCCAAAACTTTGTCTTCAAAATAAGGGTGCGTCTTATATTCCGAAAAATACAGTATATAGAAGTATAGTACAGTATTGTTTCCTAGTGCGAATCATCACGTCTACTAGTCTGAACAACTTTTAAAATACGGGAATACTGACGTTCTAGTGATAAAAGACCTGCAACATTGACCATATGGAAGCCAGAAACACAGGAATGGTACTAATTGAGAACCTAAGACACGACTATCAAGCCACTGGGGGATTTAAGACTTGCTCTAGAAACTCAAGCAGGACCTCGAAAAGGCCCATAGGAATAAAACTGAGATTAAATATTGAACAAACAGTTGGAAATAGAGGAGCAATACTGAAGGAGGTGGATGAATAAAAATTATATCTGGATAGGAGTATGTGGCGAAGTTTTGTGGGGTGATGCAGCTGTTTGGCTTTAAGCCTAAGACCTTCAGCAGACCCTGATTATGCTAGGTAAAGTTCATAGGGAACAACCAAACCGCCTTGAAAATTGACAATAATGAACTCTTACAACTTCCTTACTGATACACATTTATCTTTTGGTAAATCTTGTTCCAACGTAAAAGATCTTCTGAAGATATAACCCCTTTTGTTCGTTTGTATATCACAGTTGACATAACATTTCAATAAGAAAAATAAATACCAGTTTTGATTAAAAAAAACAAAGTGTTTCAACAGAGGCTTATCCAATAAATGTTCAATTTGTTCATTTGTGAACAAATGTTACACAGGGAGTCGATTATAACGATAAACCTCTACTCCGAGATTCAAAAGCATGTTAAAAGATAACAGTTATGCACTTTAAGAATAGTTCTAATGTGAGTTTGTTTTAGCCAAAGCTACACAACTTTATTACCTTGCTGATAAAAACAATGCTATATTAATCTTCACATCAGGAAGTAAAAATACGCTTATCAATCCTGGATTCGAACTCGTGTAATCGAATTGTGAAACAGCAGCTATCTTCACCAAATTTTACTATTTGGAGACACCATAGTAAACGAGCTCATTGGTTGTCGATTCTCACTGATGGATTTTCTGTTTAAATGTCAGAGAGAGGGGGAGGGGATGTAAAACTCTGGAGCGAGAAGTGGGGAACACACCACCACTGTGTGAACAAAAGTAGATTGTGTTGTTTCATGTAAAACCAAAGAATTTTTGAGCCATTAAAAAAAAATATTATATATAAGCACAAGTATGTATATTGAAAAAAAACAATTTTAACTACTGTGTAGTAGTAAGTTCTGGACTGGAATTAAGACATTCCATCTAATTGAATAAGGCTACTTTCTGCCCCAATTTCTCTTCAGATCTGTTTGCACGATCTACTTGTAGATTCGTATTCATTAACAATCCTGCTTGTGAATAAAACATGAAATTTGTAGCTGTAATCACAGCATTTTAATGCGAAAATAGTAACTCACTAACTACTTATACTGCCCCACAAAATACAGACTTTTTTCTACATTTCACTGGGTCCATGTAGCGCATCATAGTGAGTATTTTTTAGTTTTTTGATACACTGGTAAAAATTGATAAAAATAAAGCAGTAAAAAAAAGTAATACTTTCTTCGCTACAAACTTTCTTATTATATCCAACAAGTAATGGCATGGTCAGGTGGTTAGGGCACTCGACTCGCAATCTGTAGGTCGCGGGTTCGAATCCCCGACAATTCAAACACCCATTCAGCCGTGGGGGCGTTATAAGTGTCGGTCAATCCCACTGTTCGTTGGTAAATGAGTAGCCCAAGAGGTGGCGATGGGTGGTGATGACTAGCTGCCTTTCCTCTAGTCTTACACTGCTAAATTAGGGACAGATAGCCCTCGTGTAGCTTTGCGCGAAATCCATAACAAACCAACAAGTAATACTTTCTACAATATAAACTTCCTTTTTACGTCCGACAGGTAATCCTTTTTTCAATATAAACTTTATTTTTATGTCCAACAAGTAATACTTTCTTCGCTATACATCGTTGCCTTCTTATTCAAATTGTCTTCCTTCCAAAATAGATTTTGTTATTTTAATATTCTAATGACATTGAACAGTCTGAAAACAACGTATACAATTTTTCCTTATCATTTAATATATTTTTAACTGAATGTTCAAGAGTATACTTTCTTGTTTTTTAGCCAAAAGCTACACAATGGGAATTTAACCGCGTATCTTTTAGCACTGTAAGTCCGTATACTTACCAATGATCCGCTGTGGGACCAGCAGCGTACTACATAATATTTTGAAAAACCTGGGGTCAGCTAAGCCTAAAAGTTCCACTAAAGTCTGTGTGTCATCTAGACCGGTGTTTCTCAAAGTGTGGGCTCGCAAGCACTTCCTAAAATATTTTGTTTTCCTGGAAGATTTACAGAAAAAATAAAATTCTGACAATTCTTTATAAATCAAACATCAAATGTTAATATCTTTGCAAATCGGGATATTATTTACTCGTACAACACCAGTTTTGTTTGTAATTAAGCACAAAGCTGCACAGTGGGCTATCTGTGCTCTGCCCACCACGGGTATCAAAACCCGGATTCTAACGTTGTAAGTCCGCAGACATACCGCAGTGCTACTGGGGGTATGCAACACCAGATAAAGGAGTGTAATCGGGGCTAGGACTACGGAGTCTACAACTACGCTTGGAAAAATTATGCTCAATAAAGCAGTGCATGGCTCGCATTAAAAGTGTTAAGTCACAGTTATCCTTCCACGTATTTCAATTGACGTAATAATTTTATATCTTAGTAATTCAGTGTGTCGTTGTATCCCCATTCATTTTACTAATCAAAAGTTTGATAAAGCATTTATATTATTAATAAATTTTCTTTTAACGGTGGGTCACGGCGGAATACGCGACGAAAACGTTTGGGGACCACTGATCTAGAAAATTCATCAAAAACACCTCCACTCCACCCATGAAATTGCAATAATAATAATAATAAAAATGAAAAAACTATAAATTTTAAAACTGAATGCGAAATAACTTTCAAAGCAACAACAGGACGCGCTATATCACGATAGAAACAGGCATCTGGAAAAAGGGGTTTCGTCATTTCCAATGAGGTAAACGGGTTTTGAAATTTTTAAGGCATGACCTGCGATAGGGACTAAAATGACTGAATGAGAAAGAAGCTAGTACGGATATCAACAAATCATAACAACACAGGTTTTTTGACGTTCACGATACATGTAATTATATTAATTTACAATTAAAGCAAACTACATACTTATAGCGAAACTAAAAACTGGTAATAAGTTACCCTTACCCTTTCACTTATAATTATTTCATCAGCTGGGTACCCTTACTGTTAACGATATTTTTGCCTGTAAACCCAATAATATCTCACGAGATGAATTTAAATTCGATGACGAGGAACCCACTTTGAAACTAATAATGGTTGGAGACAG